CCTGTACAATATGATTAGTGATAAGATTGTTAAATTATTTTTACAAAAAATCTTAAAAAATATAATTTATATATTAAAAAAAAATTAAAAAAAATATAAATATTTATAATTATCCCGTGCATAGTACGGGTGATAAGCTAATATTTTTAATATGAATGTGATGAATATGACGTATGAGATAGATAATAGATTCCACTCTCCTAGTATTTTATTATTGTGAATATGATATATGTGATAGATTGCATTGTTTCAGTATTTTATTTATTTGATTAAATCATTTTCAATATTTACAATTTTATTATTTTATTAAAATTCAAGAATTATTCAACTGGATTAGATAATTTATTTTAAAATTAATTGATTATTTCACTATCCTAGAATTTGTTCGATCATATTATTGCCTGTCTATATTCCAATTGATTCGTGCACATATGAATAATTAAAATTAGTACAGTCTATTTTGAAAAATAAATTAAAAGTTATTTCTCAACTTTAATCTGTTTTCCTCTCTCACAAAAAATTAAAAAATAACTTTTAATCCCCGTCTCAAAACACTTCTACATCCCCTCAGATAAATATAACATTGGAAGTTGAGGAATGATAATAACTGTCGCATACAGTGAGAATAAAATAATTCTAACAATAACCAAAACCAAATGGTGCAATGTCGCTTTCCAAAGCACATCCACAAACAAACAAAACTATTTAGTATTCGTTTTGCATGGCAAGTTTTTTAATTTTTTAACTATTTTAACTATAAAAAGATAAAATAATTTTTTTATCTCAATAAAATAAAATATCACATTCAAATCATAATTAATTTATTTTTTTCTCTCACAAAAATTAAAAAGTCAAAAAAATTATTCCAAACAAAACTTTTTAGCCTTAGACAAAAAGAGTCAAAAAGTCAAAAAACTAACTCACATCCCAAACAAACACTTACTGATTTTTTGGAATTTCACATTTTTAATGATGTTTTTGATTTTTTATAAAATAATTTTTTTAATGTATTTAAAAATGATTTTTTTTAATTATATAGAAAAAACATGAATAACTGACTTATTTCATTTACTTTTTAAATTTTTTTTGAATTTTTATTTTTATTTTTTTAGCCTAAAAATCAAGTTACCAGGATTCGTTTAAGAAATAATTTTTTGTGATTTTAATTAAAATATAATAAGATGAAAAAAATTGAAGTTTTTAGTAATAAGATTTTAAACTTTTACAAAAAGAAAAGATGGATAAAAAGTAAAGAAAATAATAATTTATTTAATTTATTAATTTTTAACTTTTTAGTATTTTTTTTTTTTTTTTGATTTGGATCTTTTTAAACCAAAGCCAACTATTTTGAACGTCGTAATGGCGTTCCACATGGACCTGTGGTCAACAACAACGTGGGCCCATCTTCTGGCCTGCGGTCTTCATATGCGTAATCTAGAAGTTTTTTTTTTTGAGGACTCGTAATCTAGAAGTTAAGCACATGAATTACAATAATCTTCTCTTAGACCATCTCCAACCTATTTTGAACGTCGTAATGGCGTTCCACATGGACCTGTGGTCAACAACAACGTGGGCCCATCTTCTGGCCTGCGGTCTTCATATGCGTAATCTAGAAGTTTTTTTTTTTGAGGACTCGTAATCTAGAAGTTAAGCACATGAATTAGTTGGAGATGCTCTTAGCAATCAAAAATTACTACAACATTATAATTTGAACACACTTAGTAGGTTTTGACATGCATTAAAAATATATATATTTTTTTACATATATACGCTTATTTAGGTTATATCAATTAACATTTATCAATATTTCATTTTTACTTTTCTATCAATTTTTTCTATTTTTTCACATATTTTTTTAATTAAATTTAACAATAGTATAATTAAATAGCAACGACAATAATTTTTTTATGTTATATTTGATTCATAAATTTAGATAAAAATTTTAAAATAACAAAAAAAATTAAACTTATATTTTATTTACATTATTCTCACATTTTTTTTTCATTCACAATCTTATTTAAGAAAAAAGAAAAGAGAATTCATGAATTCTTTGAAAAAGACATCTAAAATAAAAAATTGAAAATGGGGTAGAGTTGAGCTACAACCGTTTCTGTCGTGGCACTAATAGCACTTTGGGCTTTTTTTTGATTGTTTAAATTAAATGTAAAGTTTGAGGATCATATGCAATATAGTTAATGATAAAAATAAAATAAAATATACTATAAGATATGTGATTAGTTATATATATTATGGAGTCATTTATATTATATTTGGTTAAGATGTGATATAAGATGAGAATAATTATTTTTGACATTTAGGCCTAGTTTGGGAAGACTAAGGTCAAGTTTGGCAATTCAAAAATAATTCATTTTTTTATTTTTTTTCCATCACATCACCTCTCTACTTTTCTGCACATCTTTTCGTAAAAAGACAAAAAGTGCACTTATTTAAGTCATCCCAAACAACCCCTAAATAAGTGCACTTTTTGACTTTTTATGAAATATGGGTTGGGTTTTTTTGGGCTTGAAGTGATGTGTTAGAGAGGTGATGCGACTTAAATAAGATGATGTGACTTAAATAGGATATTGACTTTTTAACTTTTTGACTTTTTGTCTTTTTTCAATCATGCCAAACTTGGCCTTAGATAAAAGATTTCTTTTATTCAACGGTGAAGGATATACAACAATACTATAGAGATTGGTATTTCATATCTCCTTTTGCATTATATATACCATTCAGACTCTTTATATCTAAAATAATCAAACACAAAATATAAAAAAATAAGAAAATATATAAGACCCACCCATATTATGAAGTTGTTTTTGAAGTAGGTTTGGGCAGGTTTAAAATAGCAATAAAAAACAAAATAAGTTTTTTAATTTTAATAAGATAAAATATTACATCTAATTAATAATCATTACATTATTTCTCTCATAAAAAAAATCAAAAAAATCAAAAATTCTTCCCAAACTAAATTTTTTAACCTAATACTAAAATAGCCAAAAAAATTAAAAAACCAACTTACTTCTCAAACCAAAGCCTATATCTGAGTCCATTCTAATATCTGTTCCACATATACGGTAAACAAATAAGGCGTTAGCCTACTCTAGCTCCATTTGGGAAGATGGATTTGGGATTTTTTTGGTTATTTTAGTCACAAAAGATAAAATAGGCTATTTTAATTACAAAAAATAAAATATCACATCCAACCCATAATCATTATACTCTTTTCTCACAAAAAAAAATTAAAAAAGTCAAAAAGCTAAAAAGCTCTCTCCAAACTAAATTTTTTAACCCAAACTAAAATAACCAAAAAACAAAAAAATTAAGATCTTGTTTGATTGGGGGATATGAAGATTGGAATTGGATATTATATCCGGTGGGGTCCATATATTCCATGTTTGTAATATAATCATTATACTCTTTTCTCACAAAAAAAATTAAAAAAGTCAAAAAGCTAAAAAGCTCTCCCCAAACTAAATTTTTTAACCCAAACTAAAATAACCAAAAAACAAAAAAATTAAGATCCTGTTTGATTGGGGGATATGAAGATTGGAATTGGATATTATATCCGGTGGGGTCCATATATTCCATGTTTGTAATTTTTTTTGAAGGGGATATAATATCCGGTGGGATTGTATATCTCTCAAAAGTGGAGGATATACAATACCACCTCCCATTATGTCATATCTCCTTGGTTGGGATATGATGTAAAAAGTCCAATTTATCCTTTTGTCTATCTAACATAATATAATTTAATATATATTTTTGAATTTAATATAATATAATTATTGAATTTAATTTAATATTATTGAATTTAATATAATATAATATAATATAATTTAATATAATATAATATAATTTTTGAATTTAATATAATATAATTATTGAATTTAATAATTATTGAATTTAATTTAATATTATTGAATATAATATAATATAATATAATATAATTTTTGAATTTAATATAATATAATTATTGAATTTAATAATTATTGAATTTAATTTAATATTATTGAATTTAATTTAATATAAATTTTGAATTTCATATAATATAATTTTTTTATCATTATCAAGTTGACATTAATATAATATAATTTATTTTTTGTTTGGAAAAATTATTGAATTTAATATGAATCTTTAATTTGTTCCAATAAAAAATAATATGAATTTTTAATTTATTTATTTGCATTAGTTTTGTATTTTTAATTTGTTTATTTGCATTAGTTCCAATATGAATATTTAAAATATATTATGAGGGCAATCTTAGAAATTATTTATTTATATCTTACAATATATTTTGTAAAATAAATATGGATAATATATCTCTAGTCTTATATATTAAATTAAGAAACATAAATTAAAAAATATATTATCTAATATATATATCATATTTATTATATATCCTAACTAAATCTTACAATATATTTTGTAAAATAAATATGGATAATATATCTCTAGTCTTATATATTAAATTAACAAACATAAATTAAAAAATATATTATCTAATATATATATCATATTTATTATATATCCTAACTAAATCTTACAATATATTTTGTAAAATAAATATGGATAATATATCTCTAGTCTTATATATTAAATTAACAAACATAAATTAAAAAATATATTATCTAATATATATATCATATTTATTATATATCCTAACTAAATCTTACAATATATTTTGTAAAATAAATATGGATAATATATCTCTAGTCTTATATATTAAATTAACAAACATAAATTAAAAAATATATTATCTAATATATATATCATATTTATTATATATCCTAACTAAATCTTACAATATATTTTGTAAAATAAATATGGATAATATATCTCTAGTCTTATATATTAAATTAACAAACATAAATTAAAAAATATATTATCTAATATATATATCATATTTATTATATATCCTAACTAAATCTTACAATATATTTTGTAAAATAAATATGGATAATATATCTCTAGTCTTATATATTAAATTAACAAACATACCCCCGACTTGGCCCTGGTGGTGTTCATCAATTCGCTCAGCGGTGGGCGCCACGGCCCGAAGCTCAAAGCGAGGCTTCAGGAGTTGATGGGCGAAGAACAGGTGCCTTTCTTTCTTTCTTTCTTTCTTTCTCTCTATCGGTACAGTACATAAATATTTATATAATTCCATGTAATGGATGCTATATGCAGTGATTCAGTAAACATTATTAAAGCGTAAAGAAATGTATATATGTTTTTTTAATATGCAATTTTGTGTACAGAGATTCAATTTTAATTTTTTTTCCTGCCTATGGAATATTAGGTGGCTACATCTATGTAGCTGCAAATGCATATGTCGAATTTGTATTCTTTTTCTTGCTGCTTTTTTAGCCATGCCGATTGATTGAGTGATATGATTACTAATGTGGAGGTTGAAGATGTAAAATAAAAATGGGTTTGTTTGTGTACTAATGTAGTTGTATTAATTAATTGGGATTAGATCTATGAAATTACCTAAAAATCCTCATTAGATTTAAGGTGACTTGGTTATTTTTGTAAAATTCAAGGCAAAACAGTCTTTTCCTTTTACCTTCAATCACATAGGATTGGACTAACAATTCCAACTTCTTGTATGAATGATAATCCCACCCTTGGGGGGATTAGTAGTCTCATGGGACTGTTAGTTCCATGCCATATATGTTTAGCCTCCACTCTTTAAGAGGTACCTAGCTGCAAAAGCCTCACTTGTAGTTTGAAATTTAATTTAGGGTAAATTACGCAAACCTTCTTGATAGTTGGTAAAAATACATGTGGCCCCATTAGTATTAGATAATTACATTGTCCTCTCTTATGTTTTACAATTGCATTACATTTACCCCACAATAGTTGGTCTATTGTTGTTAATAATAGGGGTAATTCTTTTGGTACACCGCAAAAACCTCAATACACACTATTTATGTCGTTCAAATATATTTTTTTGAACAAAAGTTAAATGTGTAGACATAAATTTATAAACAAAAAACAGTGGCCTTGTTTGGTTTGTGTTTCTCAAAAAATTTTGGGAAAAATTCTCTACAAATAAGTTTTCAAAAGTAATCAAACCAAACAAATTTTTCCAAATTTTTTTCCCAAAACTTGTTTGGTTTACAAGTTTTCCAAACAAATCTCTCTCATACACATCAAATCAATCACTTTTTCCAAAACTCTCTCTCAAAATAATTTTTCAAAACATCTTTTGAAAAAAAATAAACCAAATAAATTTTCGTACTTTTTATCTCAAAACATGTTTCTCAAATATAAACCAAACAAGCCCAGTGTTTTTGGGGCATAAATAGTTGAATGGAATATATATGTGAACAATTCATTTTTTTTTATAAGTTTGATGCAAAAATAGCACTCGCCTCCGTCCCGACTTTTCAATGGATTGGGTAAAATCCGCTCCCCATTCTCATTGGGTAGGGTCAGGTCCCATGTGGAGTGGATCAAAATGACCATCCTTAGTGATGACAATGGTGATAGTAGCGTGTGGCTGTAGTGGCCGTGGTAGTGGAATCGTGGCGGTGGCGGTGGCGGTGGTGATATAGAGTGGCGGTGGAGGTGGGGGTTGAGTGGTGGCACTGGTAGTGGGTGTTGGAGTGGCGACGTTGATAATGGTGAGTGTGTTAGTTGTAGTAGTGGTGGTGGTGGTGTGGCTGCAGCGACAGAGACTGTGGTAGTGGTGGTGGAGTGATGGCACCGGTAGTGGGCAGTGGAGTGACAACGGTGGTAAGGGTGTTGGTGATGGTGGAGTGGTTACGGTACTAAAGGTGGTGATGTGGTTGTGATGGCATGGTGGTGGAGGAGGTGGTGGTGGTGCGGTGAATGAGATGATACCTATTTAAATGGGTTTAAATGTGTCCTATGTCCAAACCATTTATGAATTTGGATAGGTTTTAATGGGCATAATTGGGCAAGTTCACGATTTCTTAGTTTATTGAATTAAATAAACTAAGAAAAACAAACTAGGAAAACAAACATTTAAATATTGCAGTCATTTAAGAAAATTAACTAGTCGAAAAATAAAAAACTTAGCCTTAACAAAGTCTTAGGGGGGCAAGATGTATGCAACTTTACCCCAATTTTTGGAGAGGCTATTTTCGTGACTTGAACCCGCACCACTTGGGACACTAACAACAAACCTTATTTTTTTGACCAAATGCAAAACTTTTACCATCGAGTTTTCTATTGTATAACATTATATTTACATTTTATATGGAGTATTATATTTTCAAAATATCTTCACTTCTTTTTAGTATAATTAGGCTAATTTTGTGTATATTTTTTAAGAAATATTTGTTTAAATTAATTTTACTATGTAATTTGTTTGTTTCGGTAGGATTTTACAATCCTCGATCCAATTCTACGATCTAATTTTGTAAACTTTTCCAACGATCCAATGTAGGATTCCGATTTTAACAACCTTGTAATTACCAAGAGGGCAAGACAAATCAAATTGCTTGTTCGCCTGATCACGACATTCATACGGATATTGATGGCACATTGGCGTTATTGTGCAAATGATGATGTTAGCACGCCATTGTTACCTTGCGATGGTTTCCAGAGTCCAATAACGGTTAATAGGGCATGATTAAATTGCTATGATACCAAGTTGAAGTCCAAAGTGCCAGGAATTAGGGTTAGGGTTAAAATAGAAAAAGAAGAAGAAAGAAGAGAATACAATGAATAGGATTTGGGAAGATAACAAAACCCTTCCACCTTAGCACATATTTATATTAAAACACTAATATGACATAAATCTCAATAAAACAACATAAAAACACTTGACTATTGTCACCGACAACTAGCGCTATTTGATGGTCCAAATAAAGCTATTGCTATTGGGCTTAGATGGAGTCTTCTTGTCTACATATTTGCTCTTCTGGATGGTTATGTGGTTCAGGCGTTGAAGGCTTACTGACACCAATATAAGCTATTTCTCATGTATATGTTTCTTTTATTTTTCCTCTTGAAACATCAACTCAACTCAACAGAAGTCTCAGTTGTTTCAATAAAACATCATGGTTTAATTTTGATGACAACTGTAACTATGAATTTTTTTGGTTCTTCTTTATGCTAGGTTTTTGACCTTCGATTTGTGAAGCCTCATGAATTTGTTCAATATGGATTGGGTTGCCTGGAGATGTTGGCTGATATTGGGGACTCATGTGCCAAAGAGACTCGTGAAAAGCTAAGGGTTGTGGTACGCATATGGCCAAATGAGTTGTTCAGTTTCTTTCTTATGTAACAGCTAACTAATAATCAAGCTGTATTATTTTAATTGTATTTCCTCTATGTAACTGGTAATAGTCAATGTGAAGACATATATGCTAACTTTTTGCATGAACTTTGGTTCTGAATTTTTACATGAGAAATCGTGGATTACTAGGTTGGTTTGGCAGGTTGCAGGAGGTGACGGCACAGTTGGTTGGGTTTTGGGAAGCCTGGGAGAGCTTCATAAACAAGGGCGGGAACCAGTTCCACCAATAGCAATTATTCCACTTGGTACAGGAAATGACTTGTCTAGGAGTTTTGGTTGGGTAAGCTTTTGTTTGCAGCCACTTCTCAGGTTTTCTTCTTCTGTCCTGTCTTGTTGAGTGGTGCCTTTTTTTCTTGCCAGGGTGGCTCATTTCCGTTTAACTGGAAATCAGCAGTCAAACGAACCCTCGACAGGGCTAGTACAGGTTTAATATGCTGTTTAGATAGGTGGGCATTCTTTGCTTTGATTCTGATTACTTAAATTCATGTTTGGAATTGTTCTGTTTTCTGGTTCTCATTCATAGATATTTCTATATTGATGATGCTATTAATGTTAGTACCAAGGAAATCAAATATTGCTTCAAAGGTTGATTCTCCAAAGCCATTGGTTTCTACCATGTTCATGTGCAGATAATGAATATCTAATTGATTATTATTTTTATTTATTTTAATATTTGATCAGTAAGATCACTAATTTTAGGCGTCTCTTGCTGCCCATTGTTTGCTTTGGTTGATTTGGTTGGAGCGCAATAGGTGTGTCTTCCAAGACGTGTGCCATTCAGTTTCTTGGTTAGAGAATTGGCTTTTGCTGGTATTGCATAGTTGGGTTACGGGTTCGGTTGATCCCGATGTTTTGGTTTTTGTAGATTTTGTAGAGGATTTGCTTAGTTAGTCTTGGTGGCCCTTTTGCGGGTGTTTTGTATTGGTTGCATCGCCTTGATGCTTTTCTAATAAAGTTTGCTTATTTATCAAAAAAAAAAAAAAGAAAAGAGAAAAAAGATCACTAATTTTAGGGTTGCCCCCATGCCACCTCGGATGTCCCAGACTTCCACGGGCTTTTTGGCTTTTATGAAAAGACGTATAGAAAAAGTAGAGAGAGTGATGTGATTGGGTTCAAAAAGCCAACACCCCAAACGGTGCCTAATGTTCTGTTAGTTTATAGAGTTTGTATTCATTATATTGACCCATTTAATTTAATATGTAAGTTGTCAATCTAGTTATTATGTTCATATACTGATGAACTCCTCTAAGTTGATGCTCAACTAGTTAACCAAAATCATTATTATATGGATTATGGACTTCTGTAGGTGTATGCCAAAAAAGGAAAAATAAAAAAAGGGACTTCTGTAGCTTGTATTAGATGACAAAAGGGGATTAACCAATTGGTACACCACATTTTGGGTAGAGCTTGAATGACAGAAGGAACCAACTGATACCATTCTATCAAGATTAAATACAGTGATAATCACACGTAGAGGTGGAAAATAAAGACAACCTTACATGGTTATTTGCTACTTACACATCAGTGGATAACCTTGTGTTAATCAAAATTAACAAAAACTCTATAAAACCAAGTTTGCTTGAAAAAATACCTACTTGGTAACTTGGTAGGATTCTACTAATTATTAATAAATTGAATTTCCTTAGAATTGGTCAGAAATTGAAACCTAAGACTTAAAAAAGAAAAAGCAAAGGAATATGATATGTGATTTTTTTCCCCTATTAATTGGTCAAAATCGAGGAAAGAATACACCTTATTGAAAATTTCAAATGAAACTGGTATTTAAAGTATACGTAGCATGGTAAAAGAAATTTTAGGAATGTAATTTTTTATAATTTTCTATTTATATATAGAAAACTAACTTAATTAATATTCTGTAAAGTGATGGATATTATAGTCCTTCCAAATGTCGTTTATTGAAATGGAAATCAATCGATTTCATAATGAACTAGTTACTTTTTGAATAAACTATCTATTAACTAGTTAATTAGTTTATCTACTAACAAATTGCAATAAATAAAAAATAATATCCAATAATCTCTATTTTTCCTTGCCTATTTTTTTTTAAAAAAAATTCAATCTTTTCAGCAAGAAGAATGCTTAGGTTATCACTGTGATATAAGAGTACCTTGATTGAAGACTGTACTTCAGTAAAGTGTGGTACTGATGTCAAATTTGAACCAAGGGTATTGCGTAGACAAAATGACATCTCTCTCTTTCTCTGTCATGATCTTATCCTACCCTCTCGTGCAATTTCAAGTTGCCAGAGATGACCAAGAAGTGGCTGAAAGGACCCGAATTTGTGAATTTTTTTCCTAGGATACCTCTTATTGTTGGATTCTACATAGCTGCTCATAAAGGTCCATACATTCAGTTTCAAGGTTTTTGGGATAGAAGTGATGTTTTATACAATTTTGATGGTCAACAAATATATTTAGCTTATGCTTTCTAGAACACAATCATTCTCATGTTAAGTATTGTTTTTGGCTCCAATGAAAGAAACATCTTGATATATATGTATGAGTTTGTATCTGCATACTTGCATGTCTATTACTTTTGTAGACTTTGGACTCTATACAACATTCTCATCTGTTTCTGGCCATCACATCTTCATATACTTGGCAGTTCTATGAAGCATAACTTCATTTTTTTGCAGTTGGAATGTTTTGATATCAATGCCTGCTGGGAAAGTTGTGGATCCACCCCATGCTCTGAAACCTGTGGAAGAGATTTCCCTTGATCAGGTAGTGATTTTAGCTATTTTCAATGCGTCTTGTTTCTCAGTCGTCTGCTTTTGCAGGACTACCTTGCTATTTTTTATTTTTTAACTATCCTTGTGCTGAATGAAGTTCTCTCTTAGTACATCTTAGTTTAGTTGGACTGCAGCTCATCTTTTCATGTTGCTGTGATGGCCATGAATGCCTATTATGTGTGCATTATTCTTTTGTTCTTCTGCTTTACATTAGTCACACCGATATGTTAATATCATCCTAGGCTAGCCGATTACTTTTCTATGATTTGCCTTGCTAAAAATAATCTTTAATGCTCTTGATGAGATTTTCAGAAAATATTGTCTTAAGAAAGTAAATCATCAATACTAAGAAAGTAAATAGGCCAAACAGGTGTGTCTTCTCTTCTAATACAAATTTGAGAAGGTACAAAGCCCCCTTCATAGGAACAGTTAAGTAACATACAATGAAACTCAACCCTCAGACTGCACCCTAGGTATAACCTGATAACTGGTAAAGAGGCTTGTGGGTCTGTGACTCTGAAGTCTGTAATGCAGATGAATCGTTCCGTTACTTGGATTAAGCAATAATGTAGCATTCATGTTTCGGTTTACGATGCCACTAAAATGATATAGACATTCATAATGTCCTCATTTACACTTGCTGGACAAACAACCATAGTGAAACCATCCTTCCTAGGATCTTGGGAATAGACTAACCGACTACCCTTATTTCCTGCCTTCTATACATAGAGTTTTAAAAGGCTTTCCTAAAGCTCGCCTTGCCTTGAGGCAAAGGTAAAACTGTTAAAATTGATGTATTATTGATTGATGTGTTGATATTGTTGTGTAAATTACAGATGGTGAGGTACTCATTATATAGGAGAGGATTGGGGAGTAGGTGAGTGTGTGTGGTAGGTGAGTTGAGTGGAGGTGGTAGGTGATGATATATTTTAACAGCCCCCCGCAAACTCAAGGAGGATAGAAACTAACCAACTTGAGTTTGGAGAGAGGAGCAAAACAAGAAAATACATAAAAATAAAAAAAGATAGGAGACACTGTATGGTCGTGTCAGACCGTTGGTGAAGACACTGAATGGTGTGTCATACCGATGTAGAAGACAGTTTATGGGGTCATGTCGGACCGTTGTAGAAGACAGTTTATGGGGTCATGTCGGACCGTTGTAGAAGACAGTTTATGGGGTCATGTCGGACCGTTGTAGAAGACAGTTTATGGGGTCATGTCGGACCGTTGTAGAAGACAGTTTATGGGGTCATGTCGGACCGTTGTAGAAGACAGTTTATGGGGTCATGTCGGACCGTTGTAGAAGACAGTTTATGGGGTCATGTCGGACCGTTGTAGAAGACAGTTTATGGGGTCATGTCGGACCGTTGTAGAAGACAGTTTATGGGGTCATGTCGGACCGTTGTAGAAGACAGTTTATGGGGTCATGTCGGACCGTTGTAGAAGACAGTTTATGGGGTCATGTCGGACCGTTGTAGAAGACAGTTTATGGGGTCATGTCGGACCGTTGTAGAAGACAGTTTATGGGGTCATGTCGGACCGTTGTAGAAGACAGTTTATGGGGTCATGTCGGACCGTTGTAGAAGACAGTTTATGGGGTCATGTCGGACCGTTGTAGAAGACAGTTTATGGGGTCATGTCGGACCGTTGTAGAAGACAGTTTATGGGGTCATGTCGGACCGTTGTAGAAGACAGTTTATGGGGTCATGTCGGACCGTTGTAGAAGACAGTTTATGGGGTCATGTCGGACCGTTGTAGAAGACAGTTTATGGGGTCATGTCGGACCGTTGTAGAAGACAGTTTATGGGGTCATGTCGGACCGTTGTAGAAGACAGTTTATGGGGTCATGTCGGACCGTTGTAGAAGACAGTTTATGGGGTCATGTCGGACCGTTGTAGAAGACAGTTTATGGGGTCATGTCGGACCGTTGTAGAAGACAGTTTATGGGGTCATGTCGGACCGTTGTAGAAGACAGTTTATGGGGTCATGTCGGACCGTTGTAGAAGACAGTTTATGGGGTCATGTCGGACCGTTGTAGAAGACAGTTTATGGGGTCATGTCGGACCGTTGTAGAAGACAGTTTATGGGGTCATGTCGGACCGTTGTAGAAGACAGTTTATGGGGTCATGTCGGACCGTTTGTAGAA